GCTACATGCCTAAATCAGTACTGTTGCATTCAACAGTTGGTTGAAAAACAATCTGTCCCCATTTAAATCAACCGCTTAGCAACCTAGCCACACGCTTTTTCCATTCTTTAACCTGATAATCTCTAATTATTCTGGCTCAGAATTTGATTGAAATGGGGTGAAGAGTCATTTTACAGATGTCATTCTTTATTTTAATATTGTATAATTTAAAAGGAAAATATTTCAGATAATAACAACATTTTTTGAGGGGGAAAAAAAGCATGAAAACCACTTCTGTTCCAAAAATTGCTGATAGGAGAACTTATGGGAAACAGTTCCTTTTATGAATAATTATTATTATTGTGTTTAAGAAATGGGCAAGATGCCTAGAAATTGAATGAAAGAACGAGCTATTAAATTGAAATATTAAATGAAATAACTGAATTAAAAGTGATCATGTAAACCCTGCAGTAAATGTTGGGAGCTGTAGCTGATTGAACATATTTTCATCATCTGTTTTGTATGCTTAAATACAATTGCTTGATGTAAGTAAACACTTGATTGATATTCTGAATACTTTAAAATCTGCATATGCATCACAGAATACTGAACAATTAAAACTTAATTTCAGTGTAGTTTGATTACATGTAAATTATTTCAATATTCATTTTTTCCTGTTCTGTTTGCTCAGTGCATATTTGCTATTCGCTTTTTGAACGCATATCACCCTTGATTGGACTGTGAGATGAGGAGGACTCTGAAATTTCTTCCATTAAAAAGCATTGCCTTATAAATGTTATTTGTGCCACAGCTCTTCCCCTGCAGATTATTTACTAAATGTTGTGTACCCTTATTGAAGGCAAGAAAAAAACCCTCTGCAGCCCTCCTTTATCAGCCCAGCACAAGGAATATGCTTACATGGTCGATGGGCATGTCTAAGAAGGCTTGTTGGTTGTAACTAGTCCCTAAAGAAATGTTTCCATCTTTTCTGCACTGTATTTCTCTCATGCTTGCATGAGCTCTCGCTCTCTTCCCTTCCTCCTCTCTCTGCAGGATGTTTTTTCTCCTGGTTCCTGAACATCTTATGAAACATTTTACTATCATGGGTAAATATTACAAATGTCTTCAAGTTGCCAGTCTGAAAAATATATATCTTTAAGTGATCACGCTCGACTGAGGCATGGAGTACAGATTGCAAAATTCTGTCTTTTGATGTATTCGTAGAACCTCTCATGAAAACTGAAGAGACTTCTTTTCCCTTCTCCAAAGGCTGCGGGTTTTCTGATCTGCGGTATTTAAAATCACCACATTTCTGAACGTCCAACAGGAGGAAACCCTAGGCATTTAATTCTCTTTTCACTTATGCTAGTGAAAAGAATAGCCTCTCTGAAGTTAATAGATAGCATTAATTTTTTTTTATTACTTGTATATTTTATTTAGAAATAAAATGCTTTCCTGGCATCTTTTCTGTTATGTCCCATTCTCAAAATACAAGCAGACAGTAGGTCTGTCACTCCATGGTGCAAGGCAGGGCTGGATTCTTCTCTGCCTTGACCATTTTTTACCCACACGACCCTTGTTGTATCACTCACATTTCCCCTTTCTTTCTGTGTCCATGCAACAGACGTACTAGTAGCCGTATTTTTCAATTTTTGTAGGATATGTGGAAAGTACCCTTATGCATTTATCCTTACATGCACCTGCATAAGCGCATATAATAACAGTATTATTTTATTGTATGAGAAGTTGAACTTCATCTTGTATGTGCTAAACAGCTTGCAGGGAAGTGTTTTCCTATCTGTCCTACACAGTTAATCGCAGTTTGAGAGTTGTAATCTTGAAGGTCATATTTCTGTTGACCAAACAAGTGGCTGAACTTCATGGTTTACAGGCAGATTTCCTTATCTCTCTTTTTCAAGCGACATATAAGTCTTGATTGCTGGAGTTTTTGTGAAGCAAGCAATAAATAACAAGGTGGAGGGAGGAGTGGGAAGACACTCACTTCAAGACCAGTACCCTTTAGATGCCAGTTTAGAAAGCAAATATTGTACCTTGTAATTGTAGCACAAGAACAAAACAAGGGTGTTTTGCCGGAGGGGAGGGAGTGTTTGAGGAGCTGATAAACTACCAGTGAAGTGTGCTAGCAATAGCAAGAGCTCTTCCCATGACAAAACAGGCTTATAAAATAGACATTATTAGCTTGAAGTTGGTCTCATGCTGTACAGAATCCTCTTTGTAAAAGCCAAACAACGCAACTTCCATGCCAAAGAAGCTCAAAATAACAAGTGTCTTCTAGTAAAGATAGTTTTAAAAAACCTGAACATTCTTGACTGGTTTAATATTGCTTGCCTAAGTAATGCAAACTTGTCACTCTTGTTTGAAACCTCCGCCTTACTTTAAAGCAATTCAATTTATAATAATTCATGAAGTATCTGTGGTTGTCACTTCCAGCTCTCTTTGTTTGTGAAGAACATTTCTTGGATAGTACTTCTTCCCCCCTTTTTTTTTCCTCAGTACAGATCTGAAAATCATGAGCTAACTTCGCAGTTTTATGAATAGGGGCCGTAAGGAGACTGTGGTAGGTTTGTCGATTAAAGGAAAAAAATTGAAAGCTATGTGAGACAGCAAAGAAATGTCAGCTCTAAGGCCATGATTCTGTTCTGCAGGTCAATCAAACAAAAAGGTTGCATTACTTTTTTTTGTTGCAGACATTTTTGCCTTGGCTAAACCAAACGTCATTCAAATAGCCTATATAGTTACAACCTTGGAAAAAACAAAATAACAATGCAGACATTCCTTTTTAGCTAGTCGTATAGCCGGTTTCTGGGCAGTTTCCAATTTCTCCTCTAAGAATGTATATTTAATCCATCATTGAAAAGAAAAATGTGCCAGAAAAAGATATTACATGATAGTTATTCAAGATACACATATTTTAACATGTACTTATTGGACTTAAAGCATAGCTTCAGAAGCAGCGTGACAACACAATGCATTTTAATGGAAAATCCTTCATAGAAGGCATGTCGAAAAGCTTCAGATACGCAGATGTGCATGATAGAATGGTGGTGCACTGCCTCCTCCCCAGCGACCAAGAGGTTAAGCTGAAACAGGTTCTGTGAGGAGGCTGCAAATGAGTGCTTGGAAGACACAGAAGGGAGATTGGCTTTAGGGAGGAAGGGACTTCCCACTCCAGCTCCTAGGAACCGCACTGGAAAGCGCCTTTCCTTTTCTACTCAAGCTGACGTGTTATACCTTCTTGTCACGAGGGTTATTCCTTGAGGAAGAGTCCTTGCTGGCTCTGTCTCACAATCTGCTGCATCGTTCCAAGCGTGCCCTGGAAGAGACGAGAGCAGTCAGGCTGAGCATCACTGAGGCTTTGGCCAGCAAGAGGAATCCCGGCATGATACGTCCTATGGAACAACTTCGTCCACCAAGGGGAAGGAGGATTTCCATGTATCCTCTTGCCCCCTCTGGCCTGAGAAAGAACTGCAGCACTGCCTATTTTCCTCAGACACCCTCAAGGCACAGGACTGTATAAATACTGGCATCCATATGAAGTTGTCTGACAATACTCACTGGGCAAACCCTTTCCTGACACTGAGAAATCCCCATGCTGCTTCTTCCCCACTGGTGCGAAGAAGTCACCTTCCCAAACTCCAAGGATCTGCAACTGATGCATTGTTGAAATTGTTAACAGGTGAACAGGGGTAAACTTTACCTGTAATGGGAAAAATACAGAAATCATTCTATGTGGAATCAGTCTTTCACATCACAAAATAAAATTAGAGTATTTTGTTGTTTGGCACATCTAAAAATGATCACCAAATCTGATTTTGTAGGTAATTTTGAGCGGTTTAAAATGTGCAGTACAAAAAAAATATGTGCACATAGAATCACTTCCTCACAGTGCAGAGTGATTGTCACGCAGTGGTTATCTCCATCCAGTACAGGAGATGCATTAGCCCGGTGCAGAAATCTGCGCTGTGATTAGGATTTGCCAGTGCGATGCTGTATGTATTCTCAGAAAACTTCTGATGGGTGGCTTGTTTCCTCTCACTTCGCTGGAATTCCCAGGGATTGCAAGCAAGAGGATACACACAGCCTTGCAGTGTCTCCATCCCACGTAGATATTTGCTGTAATTGCCAGGAGCTGGTGTATGGTGTCTGGGTGGGGAGGGGGTAGCAGTCTGCATCGTTACAAACGCTCGGCAAGCCCTCAGCCCACCAGATTCATGGTCTCAGCCATGATACAGCCCTCCTGGGTTAATGGTGGAGGTGAAATTCCACGACAAACCATTTCCCTCCTGCTCTAGGTGACACTCAGGTGGTGCATTCTAGAGCACGGTTAGAGGTAGTTTTTGCTTATGCATTTTGCTCTTTTTCCTGTTGTTTTACCTTATTGCCACAGTCTTGTTCACTACAGGATGTTCAGAAGCCTCTCAGGAGTCTGTGCTGGTACTGGCTCGAGGGAGTTAGGGGGCAGAGCAGTGTCACCCCCTGTCTTTTTGATCCGTAGGGGTTCGTGCCTGTTTAGCACAACTCAGCTGCGTGGTCATCATCAGGGAGCTGCACCAAGGGCTCTCTGAGGACAAAACTCAATGGAAACATCTACAAGGACCTCTGAAGTCTTGTGAGATTTGGGATTAGTCTTTTCCATAGGGAATTTTGAAGTCCCTACCAATGTTATCAGGGCGAGCATTTATCTGTGTTGTGGCTGGTATCTTTCAAAGGATTCATTGGTTACGGTGCACAGTATCTTCAGCTTCCTCCAAATTCAGTTGCCTCTGATGGAACTCAGCACTGAATGTAACACTTACTGAAGGTTTGGAATGATGGAGGAGGTTAAGGGTAGTCCCTGTCCTGCCTCGTAGTTCTGTGATCTGAGTGTGACCCTGTCAATTTTCCTCAGGAAAGCTTTGAGCACCACTTCTCACGAGACTTGAGGGGGACCTGATCTGCCCATTAGCAGAACTTGATGCAGCGCATGAATTATCTTCAGCAATGTTGCCTTTCTTTTGCAGGTATCAGAGATTTGAAAAAGCTTTTCTGCTAGCTGTTGACTTGGGTGCTCGGGACCTGTTTATGGTGAGTCAATTCTAGAGACAGATGCTGTTGTTAGGGCGTTAGTTGTCAGCATTTCGGCACGTTAAAATGGATCCATGTCATTTGCAGTCTTAAGCACAGACTGAAGACAGAACGACCTGGTTTGCCTTTTGCCATCAGGAAGCTTGTCAGCAAGTCATCGATGTTTTCCCTAGCATGGCCTAAAACCTCTTCTATATTTTCCAGGAATTAACGTATAATTTTTTGAACTCCTCCCCTCTTCCTATGCCCTGATGTGGGTGAATGTCATCTTTCACTGTAATAAGCTTATACGTTCCTAATCCCTTCCTTCAAGAAGTACAACTGCTGAGTCCTGGGCACAAGAGCTGGCCATATCCTGGGGATCCTGAATGCTCTTAGTTTGTCTCTTAGGGCTTTGTGAAAAGTGACAAATTATGAACGGTTCTACAGGTACTTTTAAAACAACAAAGCTCAGCAGCATCAACACAAGGGTTTTTACATTTCATGCACTCTGCTCCCTCCCATTTAATTAGCTACAAAAGTAAAATTAACCAGCTCTTAAAAGGTTCTCTGTGTGCGCTCTGCAGGAGGCTCTTGTTTTATAAGATCTTGCACCACAATGTCACAGCGCGGTCAGATGGACAAAGGCAATTGTGCTTTCCTAGTCTCTCAGCATGTTGCTACTCCACAGCTGATTTCATTGTTTTCAAAGAAACAATAGGAAAGGGGCTTCTTGAAAAAAGGGGCCTTTGAACAATTCGTTTGCTTGGCTCTTTTGCATAATGAAGACATTCTGTTGTTTAAATTAAGCTTTGACACTAGATGTTAATATCATTTATCCCATTAAGTCACTTGCCCTGCTAGTTCGATCTTGATATTTAAATTGTATGTTAAATTACACAATTAAATCCTGCTTTTATGGGTTATGAAAATTCCCTTCTAATTATATAAAAAGTTGTGTGAACCTTTTGATGTTTTTTTCACAGCTCTAATCATCTGGCTTGTTCCATCTAATTAGAAAGATGTGAATACTGTGATAAACTTCTCTAAGTATGCATCAAAGAATGTGATGGAAATGTCAGACTTTTAGGAAATTCATTACATGTTTTATGTTTACTCTCCTCATTTTTTTTTCCTCCTCTTAGCTCATCTTTTTCCTTTTCTCTTTTTATTGAATGTATCTTCTTCAATGCCAATTTTGTGCCTACTCAAACTAGGCACTGCTGCAGCCTCGTGTAAGATTCAGGCTGTGACGTGCCTGCAGCAGGTCACAGCTCTTACTGGGGACTCTCGCACGGTAGCAGTAAATTCTGCCCGAGTCATTGCAGCCGTTGCGGCAAAACAAATGACCCAGCATTTGGCCAGAGGGCTCTCTCCAATACGGCCGAGAACATTTCCTGCATGATCTTTTTCTCTTCCCTTCGTCCCGTTGACAGCAGGACTGAGGTAGCACCTCTGTCCCTGGGTGGGCAGCACCAGGGCTGGGTCAAGAGGTGGGTGCGGAGCTGTTACCAAGAAGGAGTTGTTTGTACCTGGCTCCACAGGTGGTGACTTGTCCTCCTCTCAAGAAAAAAGTTCTCCAGCTTTCTTAAGAGGAGTTGCAAAGTTCACAGAGAAACTAGCTTTGTCCTTTCCTACTCCTCTTTGTTTTCCCTTTCTCAACACCTATTCTCAATTTACTATCTCACCAATGCTCTTAAACATAAATATACATTTTCACGGAGTTCCTCCTGGCTTACTGTGACATCAAAACTAGTTCTCTATTGTCCATTGCCTTTGAGATTCTGGGTAGTTTCCCCTAAATTATGGAACAAACAGCACACACGCCTGCCTCTGAGTCCTCTGTTAATTCACTGCCTCCTCTGGAGAAATGTCCTTTTGCTAATTCATCTTGTAAGTAGGGCACTAATGAACAAACGTGACAGTAAGCTAACAGTGGCACTGCTGCAAGACTGCTAAGTATGGAACTCAAGAAGGTGCGTAGATCATAAAAAGTTTTTATTTGTGCCTCAGTAATTTTTAGAAGATTGAGTTTCATTGCACTAAATACTGTGTGAAAATTAGATAAACCATTCCCTGAAAGCTTACAGTACTTCAAGGTGTTACTATAACAATACTATTGCTAAGCAGGTTTGTACATCCTTAACACTGAATAGTTTGTATATGTTTATATAGGTCAAAATGCAATTAATAACATACGACTTGACTTTACCTGTATTTAAAGCATTTATAATTATGTGCAGCACAAATAACTAAAATATAGGTCAATTATTTGTACTGGTGTTTTACAAACCAAACAAATCCATTTATAAAACCTCAGGTGGCTCTAGGAGTCTTACCACCTTATTCCCAGTTCATGTAATGGGATTTCAAGAAGAAAAAGTAGTCTAAAGAAAGATATCTAGTGACATAAGCAAAATGAGAAAGAAAGAAAGAAAATGTATTTATTAAAGGGGAACAGCGAAGGAACAAAAAAGGAACGACTAGAGAGGAGCAGACATAAGAGAGGCTGAGGAGGATCGAAATGTTGAATATCCGTCTTCTGAGACTTCTGATGAAGTGTCCTGTGTCTTGGAGAATTTATCCTGAGCATCTTTCACCAAACAGGGCTCTGCAGCATTCCTGTTGTCTGTTTTGAGATTGCAAAGAAGTCTGAGAGAATGCCATCTGAGGGCTAATTTCTTTCACAGAAATGAAAAAGAAAAAAAAATAAAAAGGGCTTAAAAGTTAGTCCTGCAGCTGTAGCGTCACTAGTATGATGCCATAACAGGACACGCGCACGCTGCTGGGTCTCTCCGTAAGCTTCACCCTCACGTCACATCTCAGTGTATCAATTATTATCATCTCCTACAAAGTTCAATAAAAAAATAAAACTGAAAAGGACATAATATCAGGAACAACAGCTCCATTTATTGGACGGTGACTGATCCAATCCGTGCCAGAAAAGATCAAGGAATAGAAGGGTTGTTAGCCTGAAATCCTTTTGTAGTACGCTCCAGCTCTCAGCTGCTGAAAATTCAAAAGGCCATCCCACGTACCAAAGGTAGCGAAAAATGCAAGGAAAAGACACTTTAATAAAACTGTCAGATCTTGGGTGATACACTGATGAGGAAAGTGCAGGTTTCGAAGAAACGTTGGAATTTTGCCCAGAAATATCCTATAGACAAATGCACATCAGTGTTTCAAATGACTTGTGCTCGCTGAGGGCCAGCTCTGTGAGTCACAAAGATGAGGGTAAAAAGGAAGTAGTCAAAAAGTAATCAAACTGTTAAATGGTAAAATACAGTCCTTTTAGCAAACCCCTGATAAGAAGCTGGAAATTGTTTGGGTTTTTTGGTCACCATTGTTTTTGAGAGGGGCACCTTCTTTGGACTGTTAGATAATTGTGTGAAAAAACTTGTAAAGAATATTCAGCTAATTCTTTTTTTTTTCTGCCATTCTTTAAGGCACCCTGTAACCCAGTGTTTCTTCTTTCTCTTTTATTTATTTTCCAGTTTTATTTTACTCAAGAGTTATGAATTCTTAGAAAAATCCAGTTTTGCTAGCTTATTTGAGGGAGGATCACTAAATTTCACCTACCAGCCTACTGCTACATCTCTATTTCTCACAAAAGCTTCTGTTAGTTAGCAATGGATATATAGCATCTCTACATTTCTTTGCTCAAACGAGAAAACATGGGCTAAAGGAAGATCTGAAAATAACATGTTTTGATACCCACGGCACGCAGAGCCTCTTAACTGAAAGAAGTTTTGTACTTTTCTGCAGTTGTTTCCACCACCCCCCCAAAGTTTATTATTTAAAATTGCGTTGAAGTATACAATACTTCTCTTAAACTACAAAAAGACAGTCCTTAAGCATAGTCAGAATTACTGAACACAATCTGCCTATACATTCAAATCTTTCTAAGTTCAGACTTGTTCAAGAGCCCTTAGGTTTTCTATTGTTATCTAAATAAGCTGACAATATCTCCTGTTTCATCTTCATAGAAATCATTCCTTGCTACTCAGTCCCTTTTCTCCTGACAACCTTGTTAGACCTACAAAGAGAGGAAGCACAGAGTTCGCAACAAGTTCGTAGCTCATTACTTTGCTCTGAGACACTTGCACATTTTTTAAGTCACGCCTGTCTCTGTAATTAGAAAACGCTGCCGACAGACTGGTGGGGTCCTGCGGGTCAGTGCCAGGTTCCACTGTGTAATCAGTCTCAGTTTCCCTGACATTCTCAGTTTGCTTCTTATTTGTGGGTTTTTTTTTTGAATTGTCAACTGAAGGGAAGTAGAAAGCCACATCTTTTTCTCCTAACACTATTACTCTCACTTTTTTTTTTTTTAAATCTATCTTCTCTTTCTTGAATAAAGTCACTTTTTCCTCTAAGAGTTTCTGCCGTACTGGTGACGGTGGCAGTAACCTCACACAGTTCCATCTGAAATCTGTTAGTGAGAATTTAGTTGCTTTTTTGGTATGCAGATGTCAGTATTTCCAGCAAATACTTTTCCCTTTGAATTCCCGCATGCAGATAGATTGCAGAACAATGGCCAGGAATGACTTAAATATTTGGATACCAAATGGCATCTTCAGCAAAGAAGTGGCGATACTTTGCCAGCTGATCTTGTTTCCCTCACCTTACATGTTTCAGTTCATGCACGGAGCAGCCTGTGGCCATGACACCGAAGGAGAAGGGGGTTAATTGTCTCTTTATTAATGGTCAAGGATGCAACTTTACTTCAAGGGCCAAAACCAAGGGTGGCCAGACTGTAATTTGTCAGCAGGGATATATTCTCCCACAAATTGTGCTGTATGTAGTGCAGGTGATTTTTCACCTCACAGGCTAACACGCAATAAAAAAGCCTTGCAATCCAGCACGTAATGATACCTCCCTGCTGCAGCCCTCTGATATTTAACCCTACGTTCAGGACTAGACCCAGGGTACTGGCAACTGTCCACGCTAGAAAAGAACATTCCTGGAGAGCCCCTCGTGATCCACGAGCCGCTCAGGAGCCATGTCACCTGGGTGGGTATTAAAACCACTGAGCAGCTGTTGTTGCTCTTATTGCCTCCAGCATCAGCACCAGGAGAACCAGCATCACCTTACTCAAAGAACAGTGACCATAATACAACCACCGGCAGACAAAAATGAGTCCCAGGAGAGCTTTACGCACCTTAACACGCTTCACATAGGGACTGTCAGCCAGAAGAGTTCCAACACTTCAGATCTGGTTTGCATAGAGCCATCAACCCTCTTTTAATTCAAGTTGCACCAACAGAAAGTACCTTAAAAGCAGACAGATTGGTTTCTTTCATACCCGAAGTCAATAGCTTTGCTTTTATCAGTGCGTGATTGGTCAGTGTTTTATTCATCCCTGTATTCAACAGCACAAGTAAGATAATAAATTTGCATTGGGAGGGAATTAAAATGTAACCGTAGTTCATCAGTTCCATCTGTGTTTGTGATCTAAATAATAAAAGAACCTTTTTCTTTCAAAATCCCTTTTGTTACTCCTATGAGATTCATTTTAGATTAATCTTTTTTCCCTCCTTTTATTTCCAAAGGACATCCATTACCTCGCTCTAGATAAGGGTGAATTGGCACTGGCTGAAGTGGCAAAGAAGAAGGCTAATGACATTGATGCAGAATCAATAACTACTGGAATTGGTAAGAATTAATGGCATTTAAAAAGCCCTTTTTTGTTTTAATCAATACTTGTCCTGTACAACACCGTGTTATATTTGTAGAGGGGTTATTGCTTCAATTGCATTGTTTTCTTTGAAAGTGAGACAGTATTTTTATTCATAACTGAAGAGTGAGGCTTGTAAATAGACTGCATAAAATAGGATTCTTTTAGAACTATACATCTTAGTATTTATCCAGAGCGTACAAGCAAATGCCATTCGAATATACAGAAATGCAGAGAGGCGGTAGGTACTTTTGTGTGACTGTTTCTATCTATTGTACAAATCCATGACTTTCTAGGCTCTGCAATACTGTATCACTTCCTTCCCTCTCCAGCAGAGCGGAAATCAGGCAGCGCCTGTCCTGAACTCTTTTGTTCAGAATCTTTCATTTTCAAGCTTAAATCACTTTGAGCATTTTTTGCATCACAACTGGGCCCTTGGGCAAGAATTGCCAAAAAAGGACATTTGTTTAGGTCATCTCTTACTGGACACTCTTTAAAGTGTACAGGTACATCTCCTCCTCTTCTCTTCTTCTCTTCTCTTCTCTTCTCTTCTCTTCTCTTCTCTTCTCTTCTCTTCTCTTCTCTTCTCTTCTCTTCTCTTCTCTTCTCTTCTCTTCTCTTCTCTTCTCTTCTCTTCTCTTCTCTTCTCTTCTCTTCTCTTCTCTTCTCTTCTCTTCTCTTCTCTTCTCTTCTCTTCTCTTCTCTTCTCTTCTCTTCTCTTCTCTTCTCTTCTCTTCTCTTCTCGTCATAGGTAGCTGCCCTCTGCCCCTAGTAAACTAAGATACCTAGGACTTGTGTCTGATCATTATCTATTCCCTTACACTTGACTCAGAAAATTTAAACCTTAATCTGTGTCTTCAATTAATTCCTTGCAAACCTACACTATTACTATTTCAAAAGTTAGGCTATTTTTAAGTTTATTGACAGCTTTACATACCATTATATACACAAAGAGAAGGATAGGGAGGAATCCTGAGGTGATCACAAATGTCTTACTTGCATATCAGATGTAATACACGTGTTACTACAATCCAGTTATAGATGTACAGGCACAGAGTCTTCCCCTCCCTCAGAGCAGTCTGTAATGCCCTATAAGCATAAATTATTAAAGTAATTTTATATGATAAAGTCTTTTAAATGTTCTCATTTGCTGAATAATTAACTATCAGAATGATTTAAAATGCTTTTCAATGCCCCTGGGACAAACTGTCACTGAGATTCAGTCTATAAACAGTAATGAATTTGCATCCAATTAATTTTATATGAAAATAAACAGGAATCTCCCATGAGCTCATTTCACTGTGGATTGGATCTCACCTTAAACACATGAAGCCTCAGCCAGAGGTTTAGGGGGTTTTTTTATACTTTTTTCCAACGTCCTTTCTTGATGACGTTTTTATTTCATAAACTGTTGTTAGCGGAAAAGGTGTCACGAAGCATGAAGTGGAGTCAGTGAAAATAGAAGATAACAAGTATTTTATATATAAATTACTCTATCTCTCTATCATTTTGAGAGGGGGAGAAAAAACTCATGCCTGAGCCGGAAGCTCTAAAATGCAATTTCAAACAAGTCTCTGTCCCCCAACCATCTGCTAAGCCCAGCCCTCTTCACCCAGTCCTCGCTCTCTGGGACCTTCAGCCGCTCGGTTCACCGGGGGTCACGTTTCCCAGATCAAACCCCAAAGTGTCTGAGCACGCATTCCAGGCTTCTACAAGAAGGCAGCAACCTGCACAAAGAGAGACAACCAGGTGAAGTCAGTGCTGCTGATCTCCTGCTATACTGAACACCTCGCTAGATAATATCTGGCCTCTCTGCAGCGTACCTCATGTATGTATTACAGTGCAATACTTGGTCCTAAATAGTACAAATGTGAGCTGTTCTTGTATGTTCAACTTCTGAGCTAGCCCTTCCCCAAAACTCAGCACAAGAAGTTGAAAATAACACGAGTCAGTGCTCCTGGCTGATTCCCAAACCCTTGAGAGAGCTCCATCTTGCCCAAAAATATATTTAATTTGTCAAGGTATTTCTCTCTACAGGGCTCACTTCAAACATAATATATTTCACATTCAGACTTTTGGGAAAGTTTCAAGCTCCTACAAATCGTGTAGAATGACGATAGAATTTCAGCTGGAATTTATAGATGTCATCCAGAGTTATCCTCAAGATTTGTGTCAATATAAAACTAAAATAGATCGATGATTTTAAAATTTTTGGAGTTCTAACTCTTCTCAGTTCCGCACGTGATTGCGTTTTGCTGTACACACAATTTTGAAGAGGCCACTCTCAAAGCTAGGGACGTCTGGGTGCACGTGGTAAAAACACCCGTAGGCCTTCAGAGCCCGGTGGTTTGGTGAGAAGGTTGCTGAGCCAGGTGAAGTGTCAGGGGAGCTTGCTGCTCTTCCCTCCTATGGTTTTGGCACAATCAAATACTTTGTTCAACTGGTTAAAGTCTTTTAAAGGAAATCATTCTCATCAGATTTTATGTTTGACAGCCTGTGAAAATGCATCTTGAGGCATAAGAAGATTGAAGTAATGGCACGTCTCAGGGACTGCATTAGCTGCCTCCTCTTTCCCCACTCCCACTTGATCAGCAGACCAGTGGCCATAGATATTGTTGTTTCCTTTGCCAAGGATTTCCTGTTGGATTATTTCTGTAGTAGATCTACGAGTTCCTGAACAAGGTCAGGGAGCTCTTGTTTAGCCTTGCCTAAAATGTATGCCATGCACCTCACTTCGCTTGTTTAAAACAGAGGGGATTTTCTACAATACTGACAATATTACCGATAAATTCGATTTATGAGCGTAACCTTGCTCCTGGACCAATGTTGTCCGTGGTGGAGGAGTGCATCTGTTCCGTGCCGTAAACAGAAGGTTGCTAATGTAAAACTTGAGTTGCAGAGAACTGACGTGGCCCAGCCTGTTAGGAAATGCCATGGCTAATAATGATCACGGAGGTGAAGAACGCAGCCTTTCAGACATCATTGCTCAATGAATATCCAACGAAGAGCACATGTAGTCAGTGTCAGAAAGTTTCCCAAGGCCAACTTCCAACAAATTACATTAGGGCCTAGCAAGATGATTTTAACCTTCAAATCAGTACCTTTCACCCAAAAGGGATTCGTGTTGAGACAAGACAGATAACTGCCGCATAGTTGAAAGGCAAATTGGGAAACCTTGTATTTCTACTTAGAATTAGATTCACAATATTAGTAACACTCATGTTTAGGAAATACTAGTTTCTAAAAGAGATATCGTAATAAAAACTCTGATGTTGTTCTGAAAGCCAGATGGAACTGACTCATATTTGGGGGGTTCAGTAACGTCTCACAAAAGGGCTTGAGGTTTTTAGACTTAAAATAGAATTTTAAAACATTTCTGGAAATATTCCATAATGTTTGCAAGTGAGATAAGAAGTCTTATCAGTTCTCACAGAGACCGAGTTCTAATTTCCCACACTTCATAAAATGACATTCAAAATCTAGGGGCCCTGCATGTTTCACCGTGCTGGCAAGGATCATCACCAGTTTGAACCTCAAGTGGAGAATTTATTCTTCGTTCTGTGATAGCGCTTTGTATTGAATGACTTACATGTTCTTTGTGATAATTAATAATGACACATGCTCCAGTGTTTTGTCTTCCACACAGTGTGTCGGAGGTACCGGTCTGGTCTTGCAGACAGTCTGCTCCCTCCAAATCACTTGTAATTTACTCAGATCTTCCCCTATGCCTGACAGTCCTGGCAAGCCTGCTTGCATTTCTGGACTGTGTTTAGAATTGTCCTCCTGTTTTTGTAACCTTCTCTGGCCCTGCGTGAGCCTAGTTGATAACACTTGTTCCTCTCCTGATCTGTAACGACTCCTTTCATCTATCAATGAACTTCTTCCTTACCCTCATGTACCCTCTCTGACACGGACAAAGCCTTCTTCATTTCCTCGTCATCCTTGGCACATGCATATTTCTCTTGCTATCAGGTTTCAAGTTAACTGAGAAACTTCGCATTTTATTTCATCACATCATTCTCATTTCATTGTGTAACATGTTTATGGCATGCTTAAAAGGTATTATCCAATACACAGATTAATTGTAATCTGGAAACACTCAGGGGACACCTGTTTATGCTTTAGTTTTTTGGAGTTCTGCTCCCTTCAGTGTGTTATCTCCCCTATTTATTTACTTAGATTTTCAATTTAAGTCAATCAAAACCTCTGGAATCAAATCCTTTGCTTTTATTTTTCTAGTAATATGACTTTTTTCCCAGAGAGCCATAAAAATGTTTTTAATGAAAAATGGGGTTTAAGTATGATTGGCAGTTAACCTATGGCAAGAAATTGGTTTCCATAAGCACTTTTTTCATTTTGTGCCATGCAAGATGAGTGTCTCTGAAGATCCATTGTAATTTGAAATTATTTAACTGTGCTCATGTGTACACTCTCTTGCATGTATCAAACCACACAGAGAAATGATTTCCACCAGCTTCAGCGGGCTTTAGATGGGGAGTTTAGCAAGTAACAAGGTCCTGTGTAGGCATTACCAGAAGTCTTGCCCTCTACAAAAACCACTGGCAAAGAGCCCGGTCTGGAAGGATGCCCCACCCAACGTCGAGTGCCCGAGTCCCCGGGTTTCCAGAAGAGCTGGTGGCACCTGGCACTCGTGGCAGGCAGGCCCGTTGCAGGGTAGTTCTGAATTCACAGCCTGGTACACCAGCCTCAGCGGGAGTGTGACAACATGCTCCCGTATATCTAAGTGCTTCTGCTAAATATTCTTCTTTATTCTGATGTTTAGCTTTTCGTCAGTTACACCTTTAGTTTTCCAACTGTTACTGAGGATTTTACTCTATCGAGAGGTTGCAGGCACTAGTCGTTCCTCTCCTTGGTTTCTTCTGGAGAAGTGGAGTAGTTTGTTTCACTTAAGGTCTATAGTAACGTCAAACTATTTTTGGCTCCACCTCATCTCACCTCCCCATATGCTTGTGTCGTG